GTCAAAGGTAGGGAGAAAGACACAAAGGGCTTAATACCTGAGAGAGAGCATCTAAAGTCCCAGTTCTCAGTATTTCTGCCGTCTCTACACCTAGCACCGTGTGGGGCATTTTTGGAGGCAAGGGGAACCTGTGACTGGAGTTCTCTTCAGAAATCCCCAGCATGTGGCAACATCACAAAGGAGGGCAGAAACTACTATGCAGTGCCACCGACTGAAGAGGTGGGGAGAGGACTGCAGCCTGAGTAGCCAGGGAAGGCTTCACAGAGGAGCGCTGCTGAAAGGAGAGGGAAGATTCCCACAGGCAGCAGGCTGGTGGCAATTCACATTTGCACATGCTCAGTACTGCATGGGTGCCAGGAACTCCCAAGATACAGACAAGAGCAGCTACCTCGGGGCTCAGGGCACATGAAGGGAGATGATGCCATGTGGACAAATGGTTATGAGGCCATTTGGGGAGAAGAGTGGAGTTAGGGACTGTGAAATGTTATTATATTCCGTGATTATGATTATATTCTGGGATTGCTTTTTCTTTTGAACATACAGGTTTCTGAGCAGCCAGGGCTGTTTCTATACATCTGTGGCTTCAACTAGAGTTGATTTTATTCCCTAGGGAGAAGTTGGGAATGTCTAGAGGCATATTTGGTTGTTAAAACTTGAGAGGCAGTAGGGAGGTTGTTACCGGCATCTGGCTGGTGCAGGCCATGGAGGTACTGAACATCCTACAATGCTCAGGTCAGCCCTCAAGGCAGACAATGATCTGACCAAAGGCAAAGAGTGCTGAGGTGAGAAGCCTTGGTACAGAGCCTTGGGTTCTTGGGTGCCCTATGGCAAACAGCGGCAGGGAAGCTGCCCCTCCCACTCATAGATCATTGGGGCCTCTGGCTGCCCCATTGTGGTTATCGCTTCAACATCACTTTGATCCTTCTCCATTTTCTCCTTTTACTTGTAAATAGGATCAATGACCCAAGACTACTATAAAATATAGATGTGAGAACACAATCTTAGCTTATTGCTGGGCACCCACTATATGGTCAGTAAGTGGCAGCTTACTTATTGAAAAGTTGGTCCCAAACCAGCTAGAGCTATACTCACACCATTACAACCTAGAGTCAGTGATAGTGAAGATTCTCAACTTGGCTTTCTCAATTTTTTTGGAAAAAAATTATTGAATTTTTGTGTATTTCGTACAGAACATCTTAAAAAATTTAAAAACTCATTATTTATTTTTAGTTTTATTTTATGTGTATGAGTGTTATGCCTGCATGTTTATAAGTGCACCCGTGTCATGTTCTGCAGTGCCCTCGGAGGACAGAAGATGGCATCAGATCCCCTGGAACTGGAGTTATAGACAGTTGTTAGAAGCCATGTGGGTGCTGAGATTCAAACGCAGGTCTTCTGCAAGAATAACCAGTGCTCTTAACTGCTGAGCTGTCTCTCCAGCTCCATTCAGAAAATCTTAATCATCTTTATCCCCTCCTTCCCCACTGGCACCCTCCCATAGCATCCACACTGAATTTCATGCATCCTGTCATTTGTGTTAAGGCCTATCTAGTCAAGTTAGTGTCCTCTGTCATTCCTCAGTGCAAGTTCATCCGCTGAGGGCTAGTCAGCCTATCTAGAGTCCCCCCCTTTAAGAAGACCAGCTCTTCTTCACCCAGCAGCAATGAGCTGCCAATAGTTCTTCAGTTAAGATTGGGACCTGCTGCCCAGTTCCACAGTTCTATGCTGGGTTTTAGTTTGCTGGAGTTTGCATGGGTCTTGTGCATGCTGTCACCATTGCTGTAGGTGCATATGAACAAGGTCCCAGGAGCTCGTAGGATTCTATTTCCATATGGTCATGCACCTCCTCCCTGGCTCTTATAATCGCAATACAGTTAAAGGTCTTTGGTGACAAATATAAGTTCAGCCCTTACAAAGTTGATGAGATATGCTTGAACAAGAATATGTTTCACACACAGTGGATAGGCTTTCTATGTGTTTTCTATTTGTGGGATAGACTTTTAAGCTCCACCCTCTGAATCCCTTGATCCTTGAAGAAGAGGGATACATTTCAAGAAAGCCACAAAGACCTATCTGCACAGGTAGAAGATGATAGAATAGTGCTGCAGTATTTACAGTAATGAAGTTGTATAGATGGTATATACTCTTACTACTACTAAAGTAAGTGGGAGCACAAGAAGTCATTGAGCTGCCCTATGACATGGGACCAGTTAATACCAGGTCTTTGGGCAGCTGTTCAGCTATTTCTGCAATATCACACTCCCCCCACCCATCAGGGAAAGTTTGTATGCACATACTGGTGTACAACGAACTGTCATCATCGTCATCTTCCTCTTCCTCCTCCTCTTCTCGTGTGTATAGGCAGGAAGAGTCTTCATAGTCGGATTCATGAGGCACATTTTCTTTGTTGTCATCACATTCAATCACAACAGTTGGCACTTGTCTTATTTCCGGAAGGCCCATGGGTCCTGCTTTTGTGACACTGTCACTTGAGTGCAAACCAGAGCTGTGGTAAGACGTGGAACAGGGGACTCGCTGTTCAGAGCTGCTTAAAGAGAACAGAAGGAGGAAATTCACCTTAGCCAACATGTCCATTACATCCCTTGGAGCTGCTTGGATATTCACTTGTCCCATCTGCAGAGACTAAGGGCTGCCAGGCAATGCAATACATGCCTCATCTTGGAGCCTGTCCTTTTAAGACAGCACATTCCTGATGGTGGCAGTGGCATGTAATAATCAGACACAAGAATCTTAATTCCTTGTGGATGGATCATGGTGGTTGGGTGTACAGAAATGTACTTATGACCACCGAACAGTACACTTGGCACTGGTTAAGATGGATTCATTTGTAACCCACATGCCTCCTAGCCTGGGGTAAAGGGTTAACTTGATGGTGAATCCAGAGATACAGCACAGAAGGTAGTAAGCAAGGTTGGAGGAACCAGGAGTGGGAGAGTAGCTTCAAACGGTGTGGATGGGGATGCAGAGGAAGAGGAGAACAGGGAGGAATGGCTGAGCCTGGCAAAGACATCAAGATGGACATGGTCACGGACAACCTAGGGAAAGTTCTCTCCCAAGGGTGGTGTTGGGCCTCAGCAGGCAGTGACAGGTAACATTAGCTTTTCTCCTCCTCCCACACTATGAATCAATTTCTAAGAATGGTGTTCTTAAAGCTAACATAGATTAAGTGTTTTTTTATTATTATTTTTATTTTATATGTATTAGTGTATCACCTGCATGGATGTGAGTGTATCCATGTCATGCAATGCCACGGAGGTCAGAGGAGGGCTTTGGATTCCCCTGGAAAAGGAGTTAAGGACGGTTCGTAGCTGCCATGTGGGTGCTGGGAGTCGAACCTGGGTCCTCTGCAAGAGCAGTCGGTGCTCTTAACCACTGACCCATCTTTCCAGCCCCTAAATATATGTTTTAATTAAAAAGAACCTCAATAAAATATTTACCATTAGAAAATTAGGAAATGCGAGACAACTTGAGAGGGCGGACTGTATGGGCGTGCTCAGATCCTGCCTCCATGTGGTGAAGGAAGCCTGAGTGTACCTTACTGGAACCTGAATTGGGCTCTGTGGGTAATCCTGAATAGCTGATCTGAAGCCATAGTTGCCTCCAAATTAAACCTGAGAGAACCTGAACCCTGCACCAACCAGCTTAACATAACCAATAAAGAAAGGATCTAGGTACCCCGATAATACAAACAGAAGCACACTTCAACTTAATTCTCAAATCAGAATCATAAACAATAAGAGAAATTCACATGCCAAGATCGCAATGAAAGAATAATAAAATGGAAAACCAAAACACTATGTCTCCAGCAAAGCCCACCAATCCTGTAAAAGAGTTCTATAAGGAGAAGCCCCTAGAGATAACCCAGGACACTGGACTTAAAAGTACAATCACAAACATGATCAAGGAATTCAACGAATTTAAAGAACACATGAACAAACAAATCAAAGAGCTAAAAGAAGATAGGGATAAACTTCTGAATGAATTCACAAAAACGATAGAAACATTGAAGAAAACTCAGGTAGAAGTGAAGAGGGAAGTGCAAAACTCAATAAGCCAACTTGAAAGAACAGGGGAAAGCCTCACTGCTACAATGAATGAAATGGAAAACAGAATATCAACACTGGAGAATAAAGTTGAAGAATTGGACCACTCAAGGAAAGATTATGGAAAATTAAAAACAACAACAACAACAACAAAAAAACCCAGGAATGGAATATGCAAGAGATGTGGGACACCAAGAAAAGACCGAATCTATGGATCATAGGAATAGAGGAAGGAGAAGAATTTCAGGTTAATGGTATTGACCAGATCTTAAACAGGATTGTAGAAGATAATTTCCCAAAATTAAGAAAAGACATTCCTATACAAATACAGGAAGCACATAGAACACCAAATAGGATCAGAAAAGAAACTTCCCATTACATATCATACTAAAAACACTAAATATACAGAATAAAGAGAGAATATTGAAAGCAGCAAAAGAAAAACAACAAGTCACATACAAAGGAAAGAAAGCCCATCAGAATTACAGCTGACTTATCAGTGCAAACTATGAAAGCCAAAGAGCCTGACCAAGGTATTTCCAGTTCTATGTGACAATAGAGGCCAGCCCAGAATACTTTACCCAGCAAAAATGCCTATTACAGTTGAGGGGGACTTCCATGACATGAATAGCCTGAAAAAAATACATGTCCACAAAACCAGCCTGTCAAAAGAAAGAAAATAAATAAAGGTATAATCTAGGAAACACAAAATTAGACAGAGAATACAAACAGCAATCAAGATGACGGCAACCAATCCACATCTTTCAATAATTACCTTAAATGTCAATGGACTGAACTCTTCAGTCAAAAGACATAGGCTAAGTGAATGGATTAAGAAACAAAATTCATCTCTTTGATGTTTGCAAGAAACCCATCTCACCTTCAAGGCACTACCTTAAGGTAAAAGGATGGAAAAGAATATTCCAAGCAAATGGCACTAAGAAACAAGCAGGGGTTGCAATTCCAATATCTGACAAATTAGACTTCAATGTAAAACTAATCAGAAGAGATAAGGAGGGTCACTTCATTCTGATCAAAGGAACAGTAAACCAAGAAGATATTACAATCCTTAACATATATGCACCAAACTCTGGTGCACCCAAATTCACAAAACAATACTATGGGACTTTGAGACACAGATTAACCCCAACTCAGTAATACAAGGGGACTTTAATACCCCACTTTCTCCATTAGACAGGTCAACTAGACAAAGAATAAACAGAGAGATGACTGAATTAAATGATACCATACATCAAATGGACCTAACAGACATCTTTTGAATATTCCACCCAAGCACCAAAGAATACACTTTCTACTCAGCAGCCCATGGAACTTTTTTAGAAACTGATCACATACTGGGCCATGAAACAAACCTCAATAAATACGAAAAAATTGAAATAATCCCATGCATTCTATCAGACCACAATGCAATAAAGCTCAAAAATCAACACTGGACAAAGCCTTAGTCATTATACGAACTTGTGGCAATTGAACAACACACAGCTAAACAAGGGTCAAAGGAGAAATTAAGAAAGAAATAAAAGAATTCCTGGAACTCAATGGAAAGGACAATAAAACACAACACAACCTCTGAGACACATTAAAAGCTGTCCTAAGAGGGAAGTTTATAGCTCTAAGTGCCTACATTAAAAAATTAGAGCCCCCAAAATGACCTAACACTGCAACTCAACACACTTGAGAAGCAACAGAAAATGAAACACAAACCCAGCAGACAAGAAAAAAAACAAAAATCAGAGCAGAAATTAATGAAATAGAAACAAAGAAAACAATACAAAGAATCAATGAATCTAAGAGCCGGTTCTTTGGAAAGCTAAACAAGATAGTCAGACCCTTAGCACAATTAACCAAAAGAAAGAAAGAACAAATCCAAATCAACAAAATCAGAGATGAAAGGGGAAACATCACAACAGACACCTAAAAGATGCAGACCAGTATAAAGGAATATTTTAAAAACCTATACCCTACCAAATTTGAAAATCTGGATGGATATCTAAAATCATGGGAACCACCAAAGTTAAATCAAGAAAAGATCAACAGTTTAAACAGACCCATAACATATGAGGAAATTGAAATAATAATACAAAGCCTTTCAACTAAAAAAAGCCCAGGCCCAGATGGATTTACACCTGAATTCTACCAGACATTTAAACAAGACCTCTAACCAATACTACTTAAATTATTCAAAATGATAGAAACAGAGGGAGAACTCCCAAATTCCTTCTATGAAGCCAGCATCACTCTAATACCCAAACCGGGTAAAGACACAACCACAAAAGAAAACTATAGACCCATATCCTTAATGAACATAAATGCAA